AAACTTACCTTTGTTCGTACGATGGTCTTTCGTTCTACACGGTGCATTTCAAGGTCCTGTACCCATCCGTCGGTAAACTGTACCTGGGCTTGTTGCAGTGACCTGAAGTTACTAAACTTCATGAGTGTATGCACTCACTCCAAGAAGCGTATAATTATAAATCTGAGCGTGGTGAAAGTTGGGCAGCACGCTAATGTATTTTGTCCCTCTGTGTGCTCGTAAGGGTCTGACCCTTTCACTCCTTTGATTTTTTCCTCTATCTTTTCTTTGACTTTTCGTCGAGTCTGTCTTTGTACGGACCGGCATTGTTCTCCTTTTGTTTTGTACATTCCTTTTTTGTGCGGCAAAGAAAAAACAAGAAGGTATTGGAACCGGAGAATGAACGTTTTGCGATGCTGCAAATGCTTGCATTTGATGCGGTACTTGGATTGTTTCGCCACTAGTTCCCGGCATGCAATGCGCGAAAATCACGTGATTGCTAAACAAGGGGGAGGGTGCATCTGCCTCCTCGGCTGTAATTGGTCCAGTCCAGAGTCGATCATGACCAATTAGCCAATCCAACACCTTTCATTATACATACCCTTCCTAAAAAAAAAGAATCCATCGGCCCATAAAAACAAAAAATCGCAAGCGGACCACCAGGCAAATGCCCGGTATGCCCGATGGCCAGTCCAGCTATGGAGACGGACACTTAGAAACTTAGAAAAAAGGAATTTACCCATTTTAACATTGATTTGTTTGTGTTTATTCATAATAGATTATACTTGCTTGTTTTGGCTTTCTCAAATATTAACAAGAAAACTTAAAATCGGACTTAATATTGGATTTGAGCTTCTTCTATCCTTACTTTAATGTCCAGCATGTTTATGCATAAAACAAGTGTCTTCCCTGCAACCAGTTATGTGTATATACTGTACTTTCTACTGAATTTACACCATGTGGCAAAATCACAAAAAGAAAAGAATGCAACATTATACATTTACATTTTTCACTTCATGAACATGCTATCAAATCATATAGCAGCTCATAGCAAGACCAATGGAACACTTATCTTTTCTGTTCTAGTCTACATAAAAGGGTAAACCTTCTAAGCATTAACAGTAAGATGTTAGTGTCTGCATTTTATTGTGTGGCAATGAGTCACGTGTTACCTTTCATTCATCAAACCCATCGAAACCCATTTCCTTCTGAAAGCAGGTTAAGAATAATGATGGTTTACAACACTGTAAAAGACAAACTTGAATCAAAATTGAGCTGGAAAACGAATAAGTTACAATAAGTTTTACTCTCACACCTGAGTTAAGATATTCTGTAAATGCAGAGTTCAGCAACTGAAAACAGGCAAGTTCACTTTTTGTTTCTACTCAAACTGAAACCCCCAGACCCAAACGGCCACGTTTCAAACAGCAAGTGAAAGTAAGCTCAGAGAATCGTGCTATAGTCGTGAAGCTCTGCTCTTCGCTGATTTTTGCAAACATGCCTGGTAAGTTATTTTATTCCTAATATTCTGCAGTTATAACAACCACATGCATTTTGACAAATGGCCTGTATTTGTATAGCGCTTT